ATTTACCACTAATGACCATCTCTGCAGATATATTAGTCATGCACTTATATCACAAATACATGTGTATTTGTATAACACACAATTTGTAGAGACATGATGACATATATATTCATACTGATCTATGTATGCACAGCCACATAAGAATACACATGTGGACATAAACATATTGCCTATTAGAATTTGAGGTGGAGGTAGAGGGTTTGATGGACATTATTTTATAGATCAGTCAACAAAGGCTAAGAGAGGTGAAGTGACTTCCTTGAAGTCACACAGAACCAGGTGGCAAGAACAAGTATGGTGAGACCTAATCTAACATTTCTCCCCTGAAGTGATAACTCTCCTCAAATTCTGTGGGACACTCACTCACACAGTATAGACTGAGATACAACTTGGTCAGTGGCACTCATTTGCATCTGTACAACCCTTCTTGGAAGCCATTTTTAACCCTTTCCAAATTCCTTGGGCAAGGTAGGGAAGGCTAATTTTACATGTGATGCCGTACTGAGTGCTGAAGAGAGAATCAGAGCTCAGGGCAAGTTGGTCTCTCAGCCCAAAGATCAGCCAGAAGGCTCTGCTGCCTTGCAAAGATCCACTGTGAATCAAAGAATGGGAGAAATTGGGAAAGGGAGGATTCTTCACTCACCCAAAGATGCTCGTAATGAGAGCAGGTCTCACTTTCCACTAGCTCTAAGTAGTGACTCACATATACTCCTATCCAAACAGCTCGTCTCTCTGGGGATTCCCCAGTCCCAGTGGGCACCACTTCAGGAAGTACATCTAATTGTGCCTCCCTCTTATCATTATTCAGGAATATCCTTTTGGGGAATGTGAACAAAGAGATGCTAGGATCATGATTCAAACAATAATTTACATATCTATTATGTGTCAAATATTACATTAATTACTTTCACATGATGAATCTTTTGAAATGTATAACCACTTAATGAGATAATATTAACAATTACATTTTATAGAAGAGGAAACTGAATCCGATAGAGTTGAAACAACTGACATGATTATATAGATTTAATGTAATATGTAAGGATAATTATTTATTATCCCTATTTTTCAGATAAGAAAATTGAAGCATGTAAAAATTAAGTAACTTACTTGAGGTAACAGGTGGCACAGTAGCAAACAGACTCAAGAAGACTAACCTCATAATTACAGTATGTTCCCTGGTACCCAGTATTGGTTCAGAGGATACAAAAGATGAGTAAGATGTAGAAACACCAAATAACGTGGGTATAACTAACTACTGGCTTTGTTACTGTAATATTTTCTTGTACCATTGTTTTAGTTGTTTGTCTAGAGAAGATAGCATATATTTTAAAAATAATTTCCTTAAAATGATTTCCAGTTAAATTATTTCCAGATAAATGGAGAAAATTGGCAATGGCACAGATCCTTTTATGTAAATTTCTGTATTATAAAGCATTTAGAAAAAAATTACATATGTATATGTAATATTTTACATTTAATGAATATTTATTATTTTCAGGATTCTTCATTCATTTTTGCATTTCTGGGTGAAAATGAGAATTTCATTTTCCTTCAGCCTGAAGGACTTCCCATAGTCCTTCTTATCCATGGTACATAGAGCCGGTGTGCCAGTAACACGTTACCTACAGTTTTATTTACTTGAAAATGTCTTCATTTCTCTTTTATTTGTGCAATGTACTTCTGCTGAATATAAAATTACTGGTTATCAAGGATTTTGTCTTTCACCTTTCAATATGTCATTTTCAGTGTCTCCATTCTCCATAGTTACTGAAAAGAACGTTGCCATTAAATGTTTTGTTACTATGCTCTATGTAATGGGTCATTTTTCTCTTGTTTCAATATTTTGTCTTCAATATATAAATTTGATTATAATTTACTTGTGGTTTTCTAAGCATATTAAATGAGAGAGCTAATATTTTCCACTAAATTGAGAAGTTTTCACTTACTATTTCTTCAAAAATCTTTCTTTTTCTTTGTCTCCTTCTGAGATTCTAATTACACATATATTGGACCATTTAATTCTGTCTCAAAAGTCTTGAAGAGTTTTTCATTTTGTTTCTGTTTTTCCACCCTGTATTCATCAGATCAGGTAATTGATACTGATTTAGCTTCAAATTCATCTTTCTTTTCTCATCTCCATTCTGCTGTTGAGTTCATTTCATGAATTTTTCAGCTCAGCTATCATATTTTCAGATCTAGGTTTCTAATTTTTTTTATAATTTCCATTTCTCTACTAATTATCCACTTGTTTGGTCCTTATCATCATATTTCCCTTTCACTCCTTGAGTATATTTTTGACACCTAATGTGAATACTGCAAAATCAAAACATGAGCTCACTTGTGGGTGGTTCGATACTATTTTTTTTCCTGAGTATAGATTGCACTTTACTAAAATTTTGTATAATTAAACATTTTTGGTTGAGAACTAAACATGTTTGAAAAGACTTTGTAGCGATTCTGAAATCTATTGTGTTTCTTTTTCTGAGGGTTTGTTTGCTTGATTTTTTTTTAGCAAGCAGTTAACTTCTCTGGACTAAAAATGCAAAGTATTTCTCACTTACTGCTTGGAGCAATTGATGTCACTGCTCTCTTTGGCTCCGAGATGCTGCTTCTTTTCCTTTGTCTTTCCTTCTAGTCCTGTCTCCTGGTTGTCTCCAATCTGTACTTGCAGTTTTGCATCTGCTTATGTGATTTAGCCCTCAGCAAATGTCTATACAGCTTACTCTCAGATCCTGAGACTCTTTCTCTCTCTATTTCCCTAACTCCTGGGGGGTTTGGTGCTCCTGAGTTCAGTTGTCTGACAACTCAAATCAACAAGCTGTCCATTGGCAGCCTTCCAATCATGTAGTAGTCAGTAAACACACTCAGTCAAAGGCAGATCACATTCGCAATTATCACCAAGAGAAAGTCATTCACTCGAGTGACTCCTCTCTCCTTTTTTGTTTTTCTCTCTCACTAGGCTCCCTGTGATAAATCAGAGCTTTGGGAAGAGATAATAATCACATTCTGTATTTCATCTCTTCTGTGGCTTTCTCATTTATACAATTTCCCTTTTACACATCCAATTTTGATGCTGCTTTAAATTCTGTTACCTACCATCTTGAGAGTTAGGTGGGGTGTGCTTGGGACTGCTTGTAGGCAAGAAAGCTTCTAACTCACAATTCTTTTTTTTTTTTTTTTTGGCAGAGGCTGGGTTTGAAACTGCCACCTCTGATGTATGGGGCTGGCGCCCCTTTATGAGCCCCTTTTGAGCCACAGGCACTGCCCACAAACTCACAATTCTTACCCAATATGACAAAGTAACAATGTTTTAATATTAACTGCTTCTCAGGTTTCTGATTTCTGTTGTTTATTTTCCATTGATTTCAAATCACTTTTTTAAATATTTTGCCTATGTTTCATAATTTTTATCTATAGGAGGAATCACTGGATTTCTTCACAATATTCTTTTTTGTTTATTATTTATTTATTATTTTATTTGTTCTGATTCATTGAGGGTACAAAGCATTAGGTTACACTGTTTTCATTTATTATATAAACTCTCTTTTATAATTGTATCTAGTCCCCAAGAGAGGTATCATACACTGTAACTCCCATACTCCACCCTCCTCCCCTCTCTCCACTCCCTTGTTCCCCCATTCCCCACCTTGAATTGATTTGAGTTTTTCTCTTATGTGGATGTATATTAGATCATACACTGGCTTCATATTAGAATTGAGTATATTGGATTCTTGCTTCTCCATTCTTGTGATACTTTACTAAGAAGAATATGTTCCAACTCCATCCAGGTTAATACAAAAGATATAAAGTCTCCATTTTTAATGGCTGAATAGTATTCCATGGTATACATATACCATAGTTTGTGACCCATTCCTGGGTTGGTGGGCATTTGTGTTGTTTCCACATTTTGGTGATTGTAAATTGAGCTACAATACAGTCTAGTGTAAATATCCTTATGATAAAGTATTTTTTTTCTTCTGGGTAGATGCCTAGTAATGGGATTGTAGGATCAAATGGGACGTCTAATTTGAGTCCTTTGAGGATTCTTCATACTTCTTTCCAAAAAAGTTTTATTAGTTTGCAGTCCCATCAGCAGTGTAAAAGTCCTCCCTTCCCTTCACATCCAAGCAGCATCTTTAGCTTTAAGACTTTGCGATGTGGGCTATTCTTAACTCCCCCTTTCCTAATTTATGCATAACATCACTACCCACTCCATTGCTGGTTAAATATCCTACCGTCTCAATCCATTCCTCAATCTAAGAAGACCATGGATATTAGCTGGGCCAACCAGTATAGCAATCTGTGGTTGCAGTAATTAGTGCAAGTGGTGGGCAGATAAATAAAGCCAAGCTAATAGATGTCTCGTTATGTCTCGTTATGTTTCACAGTTAAAAAAAGGTATACAAGTTCAATTTTAAAACATTTCCATCTGAATGATGAAAACAAAAACTTTATTATTGTAAAATTCACTAAAAATTGCTCAAGGCTAATTTATAGTTTTAAATTCTTTTATTAGAAAAGAAGACAATATTAAAAACATGATTCTTCCCTAAAAATTCAAATATAAGAGAAAAAGCCAACCTGATCCAAAATTAAAGAGAAGAAAGAAAATAATAAA